CGTTCCAATAAGTCTTCCTACCAATATGACCATGTTGCGAAAACAAGGTCAAATAACTTCTATACAACGACAGGAGACTGCGACCATACAAAAGGCCACACCATCTTGGTCTTCATACCTACATGCACGTATATATGCATGTACGTATGCATATATGCACGTAACTATATATGTACACAAATATGAGTAAATCTAGACAAATATGAAAATAAAAAATCAAGTTCTACACTTTCCGAGGGTGTCATATTATTGAGTATACACAGAGATTAGCTTTAGGCTGGTATGCGTCAAATCAACCAGCTGAGTTGATGACTAATAGGAAAAGTTTCCCACAATGACATAGGTGTATAACTATGCCAGTCGGCTACACCTTGACTCGTAATATTTTGTATAACCTTTTATCTTCTGGATTATCCCGTAGTTTTGATCTTCCGTAGGATTCAGCAACACATCATAGAACACAGCTGACCTTAAATGTCTCACAATAATCACATTTTAGGCATGTATTTGTCATTACACCCTGCAGAGTTGTGTATTTTTCATGTGACTAGGTTTTGAAGCTATCAACAATGCTTGAATGTAAGTGACGTAGTCGGTTCTACTGACAAGCATATGTTTTTCTTATCAACAAACTTTTATTGAATGCATCTCAGCTATGAAGATGTTTGCAATATGAAAGTCGAAAGGATGCATTACTATGACTGCGTTGACCTGAATGTCCCAGCATCACCAAACGACAGCAGATCGTGAGACGTATCATTTCAACGATAATCAATCATAAACTCCTCGCTTTTATCAAGTACACCTAAATGGGACTCTTTAAAAACATGCTAGACTCTCTCTTGTGATATGATGCTAAGGCCTTAACAACCGGAAAGAAGAGACCGAGGATTAATTGAATTATCTTATCAGGTGGGTATTGGTCATGTCTCAACTCGGGAGACATGCAAAAATGGCTGAAAGATATCATCCCAATCGAGGATTCTATTACAGAACCAGTTTGTTTGGGCAGATCCCCTGGCTCCACTCATGATTTGATCCTTGAATGTACTGAAATGTGCTAAGGAGAAAGCTCTTTGTATGACAAGTCTTGGGTAGGATCGGGGTTGTGGAAGGACGACCGATCTGTTAAACAAAATTGCATGGGCAACTCCAGAAAATCAACATAATTGCTCACTTGAAAGCTGTATCGATGACTAGTAAATTTCGGACGATTGTCATTAATATCTGTCACGAAAACGCTGATCATCTCGGTCGAGGTTTGTCGTGAACTACCGTTGTCTTCGCATCGTAGGGTCGTCCTGAGCTCTGAACGTATTTCACGGTCTACTTCCCGTACCGAGATTAGCTGGTAGACGTTCAACTGACCGAGAGACTTGAGGAAGTTGAGCTGGAAGTCTTGGTCAGAGCCGAGTCTACACTTGAACTGACCATTCAAGCCCTGATCTGGATCAGACACAGTCACTGTGGCAATCAACTGTCCCGGTGACAGGCCTTCACGCAGCTCCAGCCGACGCTTCTTGGCGTGTGTAGCAACTGTGCTTTGTCCGCCGGCATCACCCGCAGCCCCAATTTGGGGGGCTGCAGTCTCCGAGTTCGAGTCTTCGGACCCGGAGGCACTCGAAGACGCAGTGAGCTGCATGGCCGGTGTTATCTTGATCTGGGGCGGATTGTCGTTTTTGTCCAGCACATTGACGACCACTCGGGCAGTAGCCGACAACGGCGGCGTCCCACCATCTTCAGCAACCACCATGAAGCTGTAGTGGGTCGGTCCACCGGCGTCAAAGTCGAGAGGAGAACGGACTAGCAGAGCCCCGCTGGTGGGCTCAATGGTCAGATCACGACGCACTACATCCGGTGTGGAAAGAGAGAACTTGTAGCGCACTCGGCCGAAGTCACCGGCGTCACGATCCACTGCCATCGGATAGCGCGGCAACCGGCTCTGTACAGGAATGTCTTCGTCGACGCTGATCACAAACTCGTCTCCACCCAAACGGCCAAGCGGAGAATCGGTTGTGTTGGCTAAATGAAGAAAGACGGGCGCATTGTCATTCTCGTCCGTCACATGTATCAACAGATCCACAAAGCCACGTTTACCGCCGCCATCGATGGCAGCCAGACGAAGTTTGTAGAGCGCCCTCGTCTCGCGATCCAGCTGGCCATGAACCACCAGCCGCGGTACCACGCCATTGGGGCCGGGGATGGTCAAGATGCTGAACAGGCCTTCTGGTGTTGCTTTCTCGCCATCTTCATCGTGCACGGTCTTCTCTTCCCTTCTGCTGGGTGCATGAACCGACCTATCTGAGCTGCGGATAAGGGGTACCAGCTCGTAGAGAACCACAGAATTGTTGCCCAAATCCGGATCGCTGGCCAACGGTAGATCAGTGCTGGTCATCGGGGGGCTGTTCTCTGGAATCGAGACCTCCAACGCCTTGGTTGGTCGGCCGGAAAAGCCAACAGCTGAGCCAAGGCTGCCGGTACCGGCAGCTAGGCTGGGCCAACTGGGCGTGTTGTCATTGACGTCGTTGACGACCACGCGTAGGCGTATCAGTCCACCGTTGCTGGCGAACACAAGTCCTGTCCAGGCGCAGGTCTCCGGCCAGCCAGAGTCGGTGCACAGGTGACGGTCCGAGTCGCGGTCCAGCGGACGACGAACAATGAGTCGGCGTGAATCGGGTGACTCAAAGTCGAAAAACGTGTTGTCCTGTAACTCGTAGGTGACGCCTGACCCGTGGCCCCTACCCACTTCTGGATCCTCAAGGACCGGTAACACGTCGATCAATTGGCTGACGCTTGCGTCCTCGTTCACTACCATGGTGACCATGTGGGCCGAAGTGGCCTGACCCGAGGTGGGTAGAATTGTGTGAATGCAGTGAATAAAGAGGAGAGGAAGAATAACTTTGAGATGAGAGACCATTTGGGCGGCAGGAAGAAGAAAGTATGTCCGAACAGTAGGGCGGCCGTACTGATATGAGGCAGCAAAAAGCTACTTGTTTATCAACCTGTATGGTCCAGCTAATTCGTAGTTGAGGGCCGATGAGCCCGGTTTGCTGAATACGTACAAAAGAGGGATCACATAGTTTGGCATCACTTCACATCACAACTAACCGACGACGAATGTCACTATTACTACCACCACCACTTGGCAAATTAGGCCTGCTTCTGTTGTGAAGCCAAAATAGACGAATGGGGGTGCTTGTAGAGGAGAGATGGTACGGCCCAATCAGTTAACAGGCCCGAAGGGATGCTAAGCCAAGTCGAAAGAAAGTGACCAGAAGTTAGCTTCATGCTGCTGCCTTGGGGTTTCCGGGAGAATGAGCTAGCAAGAGACAGGGCATTTTCTGATTCGGTTTGTCAGTCGGGCCTACAGCCAATCAACTCGTACACGCCGGCTAGACAGGGTTTTAATGACTATGTTATGGCAAATTCATACTACGACTTAACGATTTAAGTAGTATAGATATTTTAAATTAAAAAAAGTAATTTTCAATCGTACAAGTGGTAAATTATTTCTTTGAAGTCTAGGGACTCTAGCAAATGTATATGATGTATTCACCCTATTTCGTTTAGGGTGATGAAGGACTGGTAGTTGAATTTTCTCACAAGGATATAAGTAGAACT